GTAGGCTTAGAAAAACCGAGACGAAGGGCGATGTGATCGCTTCGTGAAGGCAGAGAAATCTGAGGGGAAGATGGCGCACGCGCGTATATGATTATGCGACGTAATTGCGTCGGGGCGGGGCCAGATTGCGCGAGCGCCATCAGCCAATGGATTGGCGTGATTCTATTGGGCTTCAGACAATCGGCATATTCAGAGAATATCCCACTGCGCTATCCGCAGCGTTGAGTGAACCTATGAAAGAGAACCATGTCAGTGGGCATTCGATTATTTTGTCAATAGCCTGCTCTTCTCATCTACATCTTTATTTTTCTCAGTCTCCTTATCCTGCCCTATTTCTTCCCCTCCTAAACTCCTAAACCCCCTGAACTTTGACTGAGTCTTTCATTTTCATCTGTCAGTGAAGTAAATAATTGATAATTATATGTTTCATGAATTTCATGCATTCTCAGGATTCTATGCAGCATTAAATGCACGCAGGTGATTTTTGAATATTAATGAACGAATATTAATGTCGATATACAATGGTTTGTTAAAACTAATCCTGCTATTGATCTCTTTGTAAGACCCAAACAGCGGCTATAGGGAAAACAAATGTCAGGCGAAATATTTCGGACCTAAAACTAACTTTACCGCGCTCAACCACCGCAAGTGCATTTCAAGCATTTGTAAAGCCTTGTGTAACTAGACGCGTCCGCACGAGCGCGGCCTCCGCGCGCACCTCTCCAAACGGACGAGGCGTTTTTAGCTACTTTATATAGTTTATACTTTATGCTGTTATACTTTATACAGTTTATACTTTATATAGTTTATACTTTGTGTTTATCGCTCGCGTTCAGCGGGGAGGAAGGGAAGTTGGTCCATATCGGGAGAAGCAAGATTCGTTGAGATTAATCTATTTATTTATTAATTTATCTGAGGTGCCGGAACGCAGTTCCGGACCACTTTAACCCCTGGACATAACCAAATGTTCTTATGTAAACCTTGTGTATATTTGAGAGTATTAGCGAAATAATACTACTCGAAAGATAACTTAGTCCAGCAACCAGGCGCTGTTACAAGCTTTTAGTGCATGTGCACGTCGGGTGTTCGCGCTCAGAACAGCGCATTAGCATGACATGTTTAACCGGCAAGGCTTTAAAGCAGATGCAAATTAACTTTTGTGAACTCGCTGAACTGATGTAGCCGTTCCTCTGCGAGTATTTGTCGCGTTGTACACTAATGCTGTTGAGACGGAGGTGTCAGGAGGACTGCAACTGACAGAATGCACGATATAGCTGCAGTCTGCAGCTTGCTTGGAGCAAGGATCATAGCGCAAATTTGAAATATATGGATATATCGCCCAGCCCTGGTGACCTAACTGTGATGTTCTTGTCAACTGACAACGATACCAGCGCGAGAGCGACTGAGATACGAAATTGAGCAGGTGAAGAAGCTGAACCAATTAGACATTCTCTGGCTGAACGCAAATACGTCCTTGTTGATACTTTGAAAGGAACTTTCTGTACGCACGTCAGCCAGTTATGGGTTATGTCCTCATCAGGGCCTGAAGTTAATTTTTTCGGCCACCGGCCACTGTGGCAGGTGGATTTAAAAATTCACCTGCCAAAGAGACTTTTTACCAGCCATTTTTTTTTGCCTCATAAACGTAAAAAAAAAAAAAAAACAGGAATTTCACAATATTGTTCTTTAACTTGTAAGAATACACATTTAAGTGCTGTCAAGTAATAATAACTCTAATAACATACATTTAAAAAAAAAAAAACCTTTTTATTCCTTGATTTTGACAGACACACACAACATATATAGTATAGGCTAGACCTACCGCAGCTCGTAAACAAATCACACGCGGCTGTGTTGATGGCGGATTTAGTCACGTAGGTCTTACTCTTAACAGCTTTTAGTTACAGCGTTCAGGAACGGTTAAATATGAACTAAATTGATACTGTTATTACTGATAAAATTACCGGGTACCGGACATTTTCTCACCGGTTCCCAACTCCCAACATGCACATTGCACACGCACACACATCTGTGCAACTGTCATTGTACTTTAACCTACAACAGCGACGCGTTACATTATCTCATCCCATCTCACCAACAGTTTAATACTCGCACACGTAGTCAGAAAAAGAGCCTCATCTTCTTTCTGATCGCATGAACGTTACGAAACAACAGTCGCTGTCATAAATCAGCCGCTCACGAACCTTGCCATTGCCGCCGATTGTTCACTTTGTATTAAAATGTCTTCTTTACTTTTCTTTTTCTCATCCTCATCTTTTTGTTGGCTGTTTTGTTTCAGCTGGCCTCTTTACCCCAGTAATGTGCCGCCACATTTTAGCTAAAGTCAAACGCAATAGTGGACTTCGTTGAAATGTAAAAATCCTATGAATCACTCACAATTCTCATTGGCTACCTGCCAATGTGGCAGGTAGATTGACAGTGTTACCCGCCAATAGCAAAATTCACCCGCATTTGGCAGGTGGTCGGGTGTTAATTTCAGGCCCTGGTCCTCATATTCTCTCCTTTTCACTCCGGCTGCCGGCACCACCCCCCCAATATTTCTCCAAGATTCCACATCAGCTGTGTTTGATCTGACAATGTGATTTATAACAGAGAATTCTGCGCTGAATTTGAAGAGCTCACTGCGATGTTATTAATTTTGCGGCGAATTCAAGCAATTTCTCACTGGATCGCGTGATCGAGATCGGCCCGTGAGTAAACCTGATTGAGTTCACGATGCGCAGCTCAAACGAGTAGTACAATTTCATTTCACTTTTGTTTTGATTGTCGTTTCTCTTGAGCAAACATAAAAGGCAGCTCTTATCAGTTGGTTAATGCGGTGGTTGCGCCAGTGCAAACTCTAACTAAATTTTTTCACACAGCTAGGAAAAAAGGTTGCAAAATGTGATCAGTTATTCGCAGCCTGGGGCCCTGTGTGAAGTCCAGAGGGTGCGAGCAATCAAACTCAAGTTCGGACCAAGCGATCGAACCAAGTGCGAAAGCACTATGTCACATGACAAAGATATACTGCCAATTCTCACCTGACACTATGACCCTGTACTCCGAACGCCTGGATGGAGGGCCATATCTGCCTCTGGGAGCTCCAACACCACCGCCGCCACCACCACCACCACCACCTCCACCTCTTCCACCTCCCCTGCCACTTCTTGGGAACTCCACTCGAAGACGATAGCCATCATAGTCATAGCCATCTCGTCCATATACAGCATCCTCAGCATCTCTGCAGACATCATTAAAAAAAAAATCAGTGGAGACAAAAATTATGCACAAATATTCCTCATGGTGCTCACGCAAGAAGATCGTTTGCGCATGCGCAAAAATACAGGATAAAAACCTCAGAAGATGGCACATTTGAAAATGGTATTTCAAGCAAAATTCTGAACATTTCTACAGAGCACTTCTACGTACATTTAATACTTGAGAGTTTTGCATACGTTACCTCTCAGAATTGTGGCTGAGCTGATATAGATACATTATCTAAACCTCCATCCATTTACTTCCCGTGTTATAACCTGGCTGACAAGTTCGCGCGCTTTATACGAGTCCTTAATTTAGAAGACTAGTGTTTGCGTATAAACACGAATTTAAAGCACATGATATGCTAGAGACAACGTCGTCTTGTATTGTTGTTGCCAAATTCATAGACATGCAGATTCAGGGCAAGCTGGGTTAACGTGTTAAACGTTACCTCGGGTCTTCGAACTCCACGAATGCAAACGGTGGACCTCCTCTTCTGTTTTTAAGGTCGATATCCCGAATGGCTCCGTATTTATAAAACACATCCTCTACGTCCTTGGTGCGAATATCGGGGGGTAAATTACCCACGTAAATCCGACAGTCGTTGTTCCCTGCAGGCCCTCGAATTACACCGCCAGACATGTTTAGGCAGAAGTTCCGCTTACGACGTTGATAATTTGTCCGTCAGGTGACGTGAAAGAAATCCGTTAGCACTGCTGGGTCTATATAAATCCAAAACCTAAAGTGGCAGATTATGTTCAAAACTATTCTTTTTCAAGTATTAAAAAAACCCATTAAGATCCCTAACAATATGGCGACGTCCCCTCACTCACTCACCACACACACACACACACACGCACGCACGCACGCACGCACGCACGCTCGCGACTGCGCGGAGGGGGAGGGGCATCGCCGCGCGGAAGGATAAGAGCGGTAGCTTGGCAGTAATTCGGCAGCTTTAAAAAGTGCAGATTATTTTACAGCGTATATTGCAAAGAGCGAATTTAATCGACTTCACAATTGGTATATCAGCATTAATCTTATCCGAGTTTATAAACCCGTGTTTACTAATTGGAACCCCATGTGTGGCGTATCATATATGTAACGTTATATAAGGAACTCATATCTAGATACGGCTATTCTATCATTTATGATGAACAGCATTATTTTTGGACACCATCATGAGAATATTCTGGCAACATATTAAAAAACGTAAATTTCCCATTCGTCATATTTTTGCTTTGCTAACGCTTTAGGATGATCATATTAGATTGAACCCCCCTGAATCCTAAAATTTAAAAGGCAGAGCACATTTTCATGTTAAAAGACCCAATCTAGCCTAATTTATCTGGTGTACATTACACCAATTTAACATGCTATTTGTAAAATATTTAGTTTCTATTAATTATAAACTAGTACTGAATTAAAATGTAATTTTTACTAATTTATTCTTTTAAAATCGAATTATGTATTTGTATTGAAGGGGGTTCATTTATAACCCCCTTCAATATTTATAAGTTATAATATTTATTATAATTTATAACCCCCTTATATTACACAATGAGTTGGAAATCATAGTTTTCTTAAAACCAATGTATCTATTCTGGTATTTATGTTACAAGCAATGAGTAAAACACAAACAGCGTTTTATATTCTAGAGAATAAATATGTACTTGTTTTGTAATGAATTAATTTGCTTATTCAACCAAATTAATCAAGAGTTATATTTTGTAGAAAGAGAATTGTCAGTTTGAACTTTATTCTGCTCTTCTCATGATAGCTGTACAATACATAAGACAACTTTATCAAAGGTAGGTCATTAAGGTCAATTTCCCTAAAAGTTTAATATATAATTTTTTAATTTCTTATTTTTTTTTAATTCCCCCCCCCCCCCCCCCCTATTTAAACGTTAAATAAACGGTTTAGGCTGAAATAAAGAATTAATACACCCATGAACCCAATCATTCTTACTCCAAGCATTTCTTGTATTTGTCATTAACTACAAGCATGTAAGCAAATACACTGTTAAAAATTAGATGTTCAGTAAGCTATGACAAAATAGCTCATAAAATAACTTTCAACTTTTTTTTAAGTTATACAAGCTTCAACTTATTTTTTTAAAGTAAATTTAATGTAATTTAAACGACTTGAACGTTAACGCAGCAACATTTCTTCTTCTTTTTTACAGTGTAGAAGTTATTTTTGTTATGAACGTTTCCCCAAAGAACATGAAAAACAAACCTGAATGTTCAAATAAACCCTTACAAACAGATATTGATCTGAGTGTTCCAGTGTTAAAACAAGACATGGAACAACACATAATGTGCACAGAGATAAAAAACAATCAATTCCTCTCAGAAAGATTCAACCATGTCATCCAATAATTGTTCAATACAGCTGCCTTTGTAAATTTAAGCAGTAACCATTTCTTCTCACTCCATGACTGCTAGGCTATTGGTCTAATAAATAAGATTTAAATATACACCACACACACACACATCACCTTTTAATGACTCAGTGTGTTTTTAAACATGCCACGCAAGAGCAGCCGTTAATATGTGTATATAACACTTGTTCCTCAGTCTCTTTTAGCTTGCTTATCTGCTCGCCTTTGCTTAGCTTCGCTCACAATTTTCAGCAGCGAGAGTACAATAGGTACACACATGGGTAAAAAGAGAGGAATGTAGATGGCGAATTTCTGATCATCTGGAAAATAAAGAAGATGCAAAAGAGAGGGGTCGAAAAATGCCCTCTCTGAAGCCAAAATGGCCTCCCTGCTGTACTGGAGCGCAAAAGCCAAGTTCCCAGACTCTAACTCGGCCACGGCAGACTGGAGCGACGTCACAGCGCTGGAAACCTGTAAAAATATGATTGCATATTTTACAATTCCTACCGCTCAGGACAAACACTACAGTGGAATGATTACGTGAGGAACCATGAACATCTGGACTGGGCGCACCTGCTCTGCAATGTTGTCATTGATGACGATGTTTCCGATCTGGTCGAGCAGCTGAGCTAGCGAGGTGATGGTGGTGCTGGCGGTGGCAATGTTCTCCACACTGCGGCTCCACAGGAGTCGGTCCAGCTCCCAATCAGCCAATCCAGCGCTGCCGGGACTCTGAAGCACAAAGCCTGTGGGAGGACGAGTGTGCTGCAGCCCCAGCATGAGCCTGAACAGGGACAGAGAAAACATGATAAAGACAGTGTAATGCACTACATTCACCTGGCAAACGAAGCATTTTAACTTCAATGTGTAAAGTCAAATGGTCAAGCACTAACCGTAACTGTGCCAAGAACACACCCATCACTTTAGCCATATCGATGGTAAAGTCGACAGGACGTTCAGATTCAGATTCAGCTCCATGCTCCATTTTGTTTACATTGTACACCTGAGGACGTAGATGACATATAGATGATCAACGCTGAAATACAGGCCTGTTCGCAGATTCCGATTCCGATTATTTTATTTCAAGCCATGTCAGCAGTCAGAGCTATTTTCATGGAAAAAAATTCATTTACAAAAATACAAACATCATATAAATACAAAAAAAACAAAACAAATATAAACAAGAAGTCATATTATACAATATGTAAAAAAATCCAGAACCTTTTCAGGCATAATCTCATTAAATATGTCCTTCATAAAAGAGCCTTCTGATTGCGTTAAGTCCAGGACAATCTAATAAAAAATGTTTGACAGATAAAGGAATTTTACAAAACATACATAAAGTTGGGTCCTCACCCTTAAAGGTATAGCGGAGGATTTTCTTTTTCCGGGTGGGTAGTCTATACTATTGGTCCACCTAAGTGTCAATCATTCTGGTGATATGTTTACGTAAGGCCGTCGTACGTGCTCATCCCTGGCACAAGTCATGCACCGCATAGACACGGTAAACATCTCAATTTGTCTAAAGTAGCCTTTTGACCAAATGTAAATGGTATCACCCAGACATATTCTAAAACCTTGTGTGTTCATGTGTTCATATTCTAAAACCTTGTGTGTTTATTATTACACAAATGCAACAAGCCACTTCTCCATTACATATGCAACTATGTATAAAAATAACGTATTATTAACAATTAAACATATTAGGTTAAGGACCAACGTAATGGCACTGCTTATATGTTGCCATGTAACGTAATTGCGATTTGCAAAATAGTTTCCTCAGAACGTATTTCGTGTGATACAGGGTTGTACATACCATGTCTTGAGTCCTCGGTCACTCAATCGATCAGTATAACAAGTAAATAAAACACGGAAGGGCATTTGACATGTTGTCTTTTTTATGAATGTTTTTGAGTTAGTTTATAATTTGCAACATAATTGTGTAAGGCGTAATAGACGTTCCCTCTCGGGAGCAAGAGTGTTGTGTTTGTCCATGTGCATTTTTTTTAAAAATTGGAGAGGGCGGGTCTTCTCTAAAATTCGGAAAGATCCTCCGCTATACCTTTAAGCAAAAAAGCATGGGTCAAACTTGTATGACCCATACAGCATCTGGTGTAGACCACTTGATCAAATCTAGTTTTAAAATTAGTAGAAAGTCTGTTTGTTATTTCCGGATGAGTTTCATACAACTTTTTATTCTTGCACATATTCCACTCTTCTTGCCACTTATTTAAAATATATCGGCCTGATATCTGATGGAGGAATTTGACAATCATTCACTTCCTGATTAAGAGCTTGGCCTGTTCGCAACGTCCAACACAATGTTTAAAGTCACCATGAAAACAAAACTCTTTTTTTTTTTTTTTTCCGAAACATTGCAGTGTTTTATAATACATGATTTATCTTCTTTTTTTAAATTAATGTGCCCTCATGAATCAAAGTAACTTCCTCTCCCTCTTGCAGGGACATCTCCTCTCTTCTCTGACAATGTGTTTATTGGTGTGTGGGCAGAGCAAACTGTCACTCACATGAGATCGACCAACAGCAAACCACAACCATCCAATCAAACCCCCTTGGAGAAAATCAAGTCCAGCCCTACATTTTTTCCATAGACTGTAAAAAAGAGATGGACCACCCCCCTTTGCTCTTTTCCTCAGAGAGAACTCAGGTTTTCTACCCTTCTGAAACGTCAAGATTTGAAATGATAATTGTCCACTACACAGACCTTAATATGTCTATGTAAATCAAAAGGATGTGTTCTAAACAGCCTATGCCTTTTCATTAATCACAAGAGTGATACTGCGGTCGACTGGGAATCATTGTGGTTCGTTTTAATCTAACTCTATTCAGCTCTGGCTATCACAAGCATCAAAACATCACCCTAGAAAATGAGATGGAAAATAATTTATACAAATTTTTGAACTATTTCGATGCAAAAAAAAAAAAAAAAAAAAAAATATGAAAATGCATTTCATGACCCATTGAATTCATGTGGACAGTACCATGATGCCTCCCCAACGAGGGCTGTGAAAGGCGTTCGAGGGCACCTCCTTTTTGCTGTGGTCTCTGATGAAGAGAGGAGAGTGGTGGGCATCGGGCACATACAGCAGGAAGTTCAAGACAGGGTTAGAGGAAGCAGCGTTGGAACCTGCGTGAACGAGAAGAACAATTTGTGTAAATGTAAATAAGCAAGAAACCATTTCTCATCAGTGAAAGGTCAAATCTCACCTAGTCTTGCTTCAACGGGGTTGATAACATGTGACAGGCTGTCTGCACTGAGTGTATAGGCGGACACACTGTTGTCAAAACGAGGATTCACACCCAAAACCGCATAATACAGAATCTGAAAAGACCAAACACACAAATAGCAGCTGAGAGTTTGAGGTAGGTCTATATCCAAAATATTATATCACAAATTACAATAAATTATTGTGATAATGTAAAAGGTATACATCATGACAATTATTTTTGCAGGACACTCAAGGAAATAAAAGGTTTATAACCTATTTTTTAATTAAATGTAAATTCATTTAAATGAAATTAAACCAGAAGTAATTCATTTGATTTTAATATATTTTTATTCTATACATTTTTTTAAAATCACCTTATTTCTATTATGCGTGTACGTATGTTGTTCTTTTCTATAAATGCACACATGTATTTCTCTTCTGTGAATACTGTTTTTAAAAGGGTACTACCATAAATAAAAGCTTTACTTTTTATTTGAAAGTTGATTCAATATAAAAAATATACATTTCATATTTATTCATTCATTCAAGAAAGGAGTGATAAATGTGGCAAATCAATAATACAGTAAAAAACAAACAGTCATTGTTTTTGGTTTTAATATATTTTAAAATATAATTGAATCCTGGGATGGTAAAGCTGAATTTTCAGCATCCTTGATCCAGTTTTCAGGGTCACATTCAGAAATCATTCTTATACACTGATTTCTGACTCTAAATGATGACGAGTTTTGAAGAGGTTATAAATATCTTCTGCTATGTATATTTTGCTTTACTCCTTGTTTATTCATTGTTCAAAAAACACCAGGTTATACCATGCCTAACAGTCATACCCAGCCCTCCAAGCAAACTACAAGTACCTGAGAGTCCACTGAAAAGTTGGCTATAGGGGCAAGTTTGTCCAATAAAGGCTGGATGTAGCTCTGAACGGCGCCTTCGATGTCCCAGTGAAGACTGTGTGACTTTGGGTCTGGGTTGAGCAGACTGAATGTAATCTCGTAGCCTAAGAGAAAGCCAAAATTAGATAGTATATGTATATGCCATTGAGAAAACAAACCTAAAGCGAATACTCACCTGGACTAGATTTGATGGCCCTCATGCTGTCTGCCATACTCTCCTTAGTCACTTTAGGCATGCGGACGCGGTCGCTAAGAGCAGCTACAATATCCTGGTGACTGAAGGACATGGTGCTCACGACCTGCTCCACTTGCAGGTCCAGATTTGATAGGACTTCCTTCAGACTCCACGAAGGTTTAAAAGGAGCAGAACGCAGCAACGCAGTGCGTCGTTGCCCCACGTACACTTTCATATCCTGAAAGTAGAAGGCCAGAATGAGCTTTGAAGGTGATTCGGTTTAGGTTTTCTGTGCATTAATATACAAATGCTCTGAATATTACCTCTGGTAATAAAGTGGAGGACTCAGGGATCACATACACAACCACAGACCCACAAGAGCTCTCAGTGAGCATGTGTAGGGATAGATCTGCCTCTGTGAAGGGAGAAGTAAATGGGATGGAAATTTCAGTGATCGTACCAATATAGACAAATAGTTAATATATAAAACAAATAATATATGTTACAATTGTTCTTCATTCAGTTGGCATTGCTGAAAAAATAACGGCTTAGTTTTTAATATTCTGTAATCTAGTGTCAATATATGCTTTAACATAATAAAATGGTATAAGTAAATAATTAAATAAGTGATTAAATGTCAGCCTCATGGGCAGTTCCAAGATATATATTTATGAATCATGTCCTTGCTGTTTTTACATATATAAAATGTTGAAGTACCACTAAATTTTCAAAGAAATTCTTTCCAATATATTGAAAAATGGGAGCTTGTTTCCGCCACGGAATAAATAAATTTAAAAGACAATTGCGACTTTTTATCTCACAGTTCTGTTTACATACAACAATTCAGACATTTTTCTCAGAATTGCAAGATATCAACTCGCAATTGTGAGTTATAATGTCCAATTGGGGAAAAAAGACTGACAATTCTGAGAGATATATAAAAAAGTTAGAATTGTGAAATGTAAACTCACAACAGCAAGAAAAAAAAGGTCTCAATTGTGAGATAAAAAGTGGCAGATATTCTGTGGCAGAAAACAAGCTTCCGTAATGAACCCCCAAACAAAAAGTGTTTATTTGTACACCCCAGAGAAACGACTAGCAATAAATCCACTCAACCTGCAGCAGTCGGCTGATTCAAGGCGTCTTCCTCCATTATAGTGGCAGTGCGATATCTGGTTTCATACTTGTACCGCAAACCCGTTTTAGCTGGAGATGAGAAGGGAAAAATGCATTTTGGATTTGTGTTTATTGCTTAATGACGCTTCCAAACAGAAATAGGTCACTTACCATCAATCTGGTGCTCTTTTTCATTGACATGGCTGAGTGGAAGCTTTTTCTGCTGTTCTGGGGACAGTGTTCCCCGAGAGAAGACCACCTCGATATCAACACTAAGCTGGAGCTGTTAAACACATACGTGACATGATAATGTATCATTTCAGATTTTATATGCCTAGTTTCACAGACAAGTGATTTTATAAACATGCTTTAAAATAAAACATTACTGGTGTGCATATTGAGACAAAACAATGACACTGCAATGTCAGCGCAAGTTGATTTAAGCCTTGCTGATTCTGACTTGAGGAAGGATGCAGAGTCTGTCACCTGGAGGCTGTCGAGTTCGCTGATCTCAGAGAAAGGCAGCCAGGCGCGGTAGGTCTGTGTGGTCTTCCACCATAGTGGGATGCCCACAACAGTGACCACTGCAGCGATGGCAAGAGCAGCATATCGACCTCGCTGCTTTTCTAGTGTAACCAAAAGGAAATATTTAGGGAATGATACTAAATAGGGACTGCACATTCAAAATGTGGTAAACACATGCGTCCATACATTCACAAACACGATAGTGAATGACCCAACACTACCATTTCAACATGAACCAGAGCTTAACATAACTGAGCTAACAAGACGCTGACATTTGGCTTTAGTGTCATGTACTCATAAATGGAAATTCGTGACAAATATACGTGAAGACTAAAACAATTTCGAGAGAAAAATCAGGAAATCGTTTTGAATTAATGTGCAAGACTCACCAAGCTGCAGTGCTGCCATTGCTGTGTGAAATGACTACCGCATGGCACGCGATTGGTCGATTCTATCCAATCAGACGCTAGAAGGCACTGAGTCTTCCAATCAGAGTTAAAAGGGGCGGGTTTAGCGTCGCCTATTCGTTTTTGTTTTCTTCCGGTATGCAGGTCCGGTAAATTATGCCACTTTTAAAGGGTTAGTTCAGCCTCAAAATTAAAATTCTGTCATCTAGAACCCTCATGTTGTTCTAAACCTGTATACATTTATTTCTTCTGCAAATCACAAAATAAGTGATTTTGAATGTTGGAATGTTGGCACCCGATATATTTAGGTTACCATCGACTTCCATTTATGTACAAAAAACAGGGAGGCAAAAATATCTAATTTTATGTTTTTAAACACCGATTTCTGTGACCGAATGAAGGCAGGTTGAGAAAGCAAGGTAAGGTTAAGGGAGATAACAGCGCCCCCTACAGTCACAGCATGGAAGTCTTCATTTTGGACAACATGATGAGTAAATCGTGACAGAATTTTCAGTTTTGGGTGAACTATCACTTTAAATTAACGGTCTGTCAATTTAAAGTGATAGTTAGACTTTAAAAAATGTTCTGTTCCACCATATAAAAATATGATTTGTAATTTATAAAACGTGGCTTAAATATAATACTGACCCTAATTTCACAGACCAGGCTTCAAGGGTTAGAAATCCAATTTCTACTATTAATACTCACCCCCATGTCGTTCCAAACCCATACGTTTTTCGTTCATCTTTGGAACACAAATGAAGTTATTTTACTTAAAAATTAGCGATTTCTGTCTCTCCATTGACAGCTACGCAACTACCACTTTGACGCTTCAAAAAGTTCATAAAGAGATCGTAAAACTAATCCATATAAATTGAACAGTTTATACATTTTCTGAAGAGACTCGATTGTTTTATATGACGAAGATGAATGTAGGCTTTATCCACATACGGTAAACATTGATCAGTGATATGGGTATTGATGCATTTAAAACTTTTCATGCTAGGTTATTCTTTTAGGTAATATTCATCTATAGGTCTCACAACATAAAGACATTGGATTTGTGCCTCTTTTCTTAGAACTAAACATGCGTAAAATTCAGCTAATTGCTGGGGGTCTGTGGAGGAAAACTGTAAAATACAAAGAATGTGTACATGTAAACTGTGGTGTTCCTGCACAATAATGGACAAAATACGATCTGGGGGTTTACAGTATTTTTATTTTAGTTTTTACTATCTGACAGTCAAAGTGCTCAGAGAACAACATCAAATCACAATATCACATTTTGTCAACAGAGCAGGGAGTGCTCCCCGTCCCAGAAGCTCCATAGTATGGTCTGCCGCCGTTTACAACCAGAACCAACACAAGTTTATTATTCATGTAGCACTGTCACAAACACGGGGAGGAAAGTGAAAGCATGATACACTCAAGCACACAACACAACAGAATACAACTCTAAAATAACTGTCCTTGTTTTCAAACTAATATTGTTAGTAGTAGTATTTTATATTAAATTTCTTGAACCGTAATCAGTCACACATCCCAGAAAATATAATAATATTATATGCGGAAACACAAAATAATATTCTTGATTCTGGAGTTAATAATGTTAACTAGCAATTTTACATTGCTTAGTTTCATTTTCAATATGATCTATGATCTAAAGTCCAGTACTCGCATCATCCACGCATCATTATGAGGACCGGTGAGGCCATACTGCACTGAAAGGAATGTGACAAGTCTACTCGAGTGGCTGGTGCCTGAATTGGAATGACTTAAATTGGAATAATAATAAAAATAAGTCTGACATACATTTGCTAAGGGCCCACAAAAATAATAATACTGTTTCCTTGTTTTTAGCATGAAACCACGCCTAGAACTCTTCAAAAACAAAAATAATCTTTGTATTTATTTTTCCCATTTCTGTTATACATTTTAAATAGATATATAAGACATTGCAATGACAACCCTAAAGTACAGAAGACAGCGCAGGCCTGTGATTGGTTGGTGACAGGAAGGGTAGCAGCTGTGCATTATACTATTGGCTGGCGGAAGCTGGAACGTTGGGATGCATGATGTTCAGTAGGAATGATTGGCCACGTAAAGGGACTGTCCCGCTGCTCCGCTGGTTACACTGGAGACGTACTTGCCCTGAGCAGCCAATCCATTAGCCTGAGGAAAGTTCACAAAGGTCAGCAGGTTCAGACAGGCCTTACATTAACAATAACAAAACAATAATTAACCCAATAATTACAAAAAGTGATTCACATAGCTCTACTATTATAAAAATGTTGTAATTATTTTTAATTATTATATTATTTTCCAGTTCATGTTCGTCAATCCATATATTTACCAGAATTAAATTAGTGATATGATGGAGTGATGTAGCAAAATTTTGTACCAAAGCAGCGAAAGAGAAATTCAAGTTAATTTAGTCGAAAACTAGGGCTAAGTGAGAATCATGATTATTTTGCTCAAAAATTATAATCTTTTAATCTTATATAATTTTATAATCTAATTATAATTATAATATAATAAAAATTATAAAATACAGGCGAATCCTTATTAAAGTTACAAAAGTTATTCAGTCAAAAGTGTTTTTTTTGTTTTGTTTTTTGTAGAGGGGTGTTAAATTACTAAAGTATTTAGCGTGAATAATAACCATAATAAGGATTCGTCTGCATTTAATTTCTACAGTAAAGAGAGACTATGCAGTATTTTACATTTGATTATTCAATGTCTGTACCTAATCTTAAACGAACTGCTGTTAGATCTACCCGAAAAACCTGGAAAAAGCCGTTCATTTAATTTGCATCTTTGTTCGATAGTGTTTATTTGTTAGTTTGATTAAACAGTCTGTGATAAAATAAGAACAAATACTTGACTTTATTAGTGTTTGAAATGTTTATTTTATATTTATGTAGCATTGTTCTTTCATTCCACGTAAAAAGTCTGGCGAGTAAAGTAAAAAAAAATGTACTAGCCAATGGGAGACTCGAGCCTCAGTGTGTCCGTAGAGGGTTGAATATTAATAATAGTTTCAAGAAATTCGCTTAAATAAAAGTTTATGCTAATATGCTAACAACAGATTCCATCCACGCAATCAGGAATTTTGTATGAGAGCAAGATTTCTCCACAGATTGACCAACAGAAAACTGCTTGGTTCGAAAGCGACTATTGACAAAAGACTATGGACCTTATTTGCCCGTGAAATTAGGGTCATTTGAATGCACCTTAATGAGGAAGTGATATGAACAACTGACCTCAGCACGCTTGATGAACTCCTCTGCGGCGGCCTTCTCGTTGTCCTTGGACCCGCGCCAGGCGTTCAGGGCAGAGGCCTGCAGGGCACGTCCGTAAGAGAAGGTGAGGGCCCAGGGTTTATTCAGAGGGCAGGTGTTGATGGCGTTCAGGTTGATGGACGCCTCCTCCTCACTCTGACCTCCAGAGAGGAAGGTCACACCTACCAGAGGAATTTTAAAACGGATTATGCTAATTTTCTAAAATGGGACTATGATCTCACCACATAATGTTTACTGCTCACACTTTTAAAAAACACGATGTTTCCAGAGGTAACTACTCATTCTATAAATACCCAGCAACCTCATTCTTTAGGCCTCAAAACTAGTGAATCCAACAGTTGGTAGTGTCTCTATAGACTCACCTGTTACTGCGGGGGGAACGGTGCGGCGCAAGGCTGTCACTGTTGCCATGGCGATCTCCTGGTTGCTGAATTTGGTGGCGCAGGAGTGACCAGGTGTCACCATGTTGGGTTTCAGAAGAGTTCCCTCCAGATAGACATGATGGTCAGACAGGGCCTTGTAGCAGGCAGCAAGGACCTGGGAATACATGGGAAATAGGAAAAGTAAATGCAACCATGTATCATGCCACACACCATTATAACCAGTCTAGTTGGAAATTGAATGATATAATTTGATTTCACTTTTTACGTACCTTCTCTGTAACATACTGGCAACGCTTCAAGTCATGGTCACCGTCAGGTAAAATCTCTGGCTCCACAATGGGCACAATGCCATTCTGAAAAAATAAAGAGAATATTACGTATTAAGCTATTTTTCAGCTTTTTTCCGACAACGATTTTTAAAGGGTTCGTTTTTGATGAGATCTGAGAGATTTCCCATTGACAGCTATGCAACTACTACTTTGATGCTTCTAAAAGCCCATAAAGAGGATGAATTGAGCGGTTTAATCCAAATTTACTGAAGAGATTTAATGTTATGCAGCACGTTTGAGCTTCTGCAGGAACCAATGAGGTTCATTCTAGTGTCACGCATCACGTTTGAGCTTCAGCAAGAACCAATGAGGTTCATTCTAGTGTTACGCATCATGTTTGAGCTTCTGCAGGAACCAATGAGGTTCATTCTAGTGTTACGCATCATGTTTGAGCTTCTGCAGGAACCAATGAGGTTCATTCTAGTGTTACGCATCACGTTTGAGCTTCAGCAAGAACCAATGAGGTTCATTCTTGTGTTACGCATCATGTTTGAGCTTCTGCAGGAACCAATGAGGTTCATTCTAGTGTTACGCATCACGTTTGAGCTTCAGCAAGAACCAATGAGGTTCATTCTTGTGTTACGCATCATGTTTGAGCTTCTGCAGGAACCAATGAGGTTCATTCTAGTGTTACGCATCACGTTTGAGCTTCTGCAAGAACCAATGAGGTTCATTCTTGTGTTACGCATCATGTTTGAGCTTCTGCAGGAACCAATGAGGTTCATTTTAGTGTTACGCATCATGTTTGAGCTTCTGCAAGAACCAATGAGGTTCATTCTAGTGTTACGCATCATGTTTGAGCTTCTGCAAGAACCAATGAGGTTCATTCTAGTGTTACGCATCACGTTTGAGCTTCTGCAAGAACCAATGAGGTTCATTCTAGTGTTACGCATCATGTTTGAGCTTCTGCAAGAACCAATGAGGTTCATTCTAGTGTTACGCATCATGTTTGAGCTTCTGCAAGAACCAATGAGGTTCATTCTAGTGTTGCGCATCACGTTTGAGCTTCAGCAAGAACCAATGAGGTTCATTCTTGTGTTACGCATCACGTTTGAGCTTCTGCAAGAACCAATGAGGTTCATTCTTGTGTTACGCATCACGTTTGAGCTTCAGCAAGAACCAATGAGGTTCATTCTTGTGTTACGCATCACGTTTGAGCTTCTGCAAGAACCAATGAGGTTCATTCTTGTGTTACGCATCACGTTTGAGCTTCTGCAAGAACCAATGAGGTTCATTCTTGTGTTACGCATCACGTTTGAGCTTCAGCAAGAACCAATGAGGTTCATTCTTTTGTTACGCATCATATTTGAGCTTCAGCAAGAACCAATGAGGTTCATTCTTGTGTTACGCATCACGTTTGAGCTTCAGCAAGAACCAATGAGGTTTGTTCTCACACGTCAAGCCAGTACTGTCTAGCGAGACTGTCAATGGAGGGACAGAAATCTCTCAGATTTTGTTAAAAATAGAAGATAAACGAAATGTAAAATGACAGAATTTTCACTATTGGGTGACTAAACCTGAACTAAACTGTTAATTATATTCATTTTAGTTAACAACAACAACACAAAGCTGGCCAGCTCACCTGCTGGCAGATGCTGGCGTAGCGAGCCAGGACGTTAGCGTTCTCCATGATGGCTAACTCTGAGGGAGTGGTCTCACTGATCTTCAGCACACAGCGCCACTTGGCAAAGTCTGCACCGTCTTTCTTATACTGAGCACAGCGTTCTGACAGGCCATCGAGCCCTTAAGACAAAACAGGTATCCCATTGACATAACGCCACAACGGACATCCTTTTAAACAAATAAAATAGCGGTGACTGTAAGCTTACCCTGTGTTGTGGTCTCTCCGTTTGTTCCTGCCAGAGGGACGACACCTTTGTCAACCTGAAAAAGAGGACAACCTGCTTTAGGATCAATCTGCTAATAATCCACTCCTAAAAAAGTAAATTGTTAAAACTGGTTTATTCAACTATAAATTATACATACAAAGCAATAATAGATGTATAATTTGGAAGAATATTTCAAACGTACATTTACACAAATACATCTTCAAACAGCTAAAAAGGTCTTGTACCAATTAGAATACTTGGCTGAGGCAAACATGAACAACCTCGATTAACCTGATAATCTTATTATGATCTTTCGCCAACCGTGTTATCTAAAAATCTTCCCTCACACATGTATGTGTGTGTTTGTGTACCAGCCAAAAGTTCGGAAACATTACTACTTTTAATGTTTTTGAATCAGATCTTGTTGAAAATAATTCTGCTACCTACATTTTTACATTGTTAAAATAAATAAAAATGTGTTAAATTGCTCTGCAATTGGATTTACATTACATAAAACTGAAAAGGGAGAAGAATAGAGTAAGATTTACAGTTACCAACGCTATGTGTATCTGATATGAATAAAAAACATTGAAAGGATTACTATTGCCGCTTCCAGCCGTGTGCATTTACACTATAAATCTATTTTTTTTGCTAGTACTTGTGTGTATTTAAATATCTGTGGTTGTAAACACTAAATAGATGTGATTTATGACAAGGGCTGAGCACCAACCAAAGCACATTTGATTTAAGCAGCCGATCACGTGACGCACCGGACGTTTTAATCACACCACTTTTATTGTTCTTGTACCTTGATTCCCACAACCATGCCCCTGTCCTTGATCAATTCGGCAAAGCATGTGCCATCATCAGCGTTCTGATAGAGGGTCTCGTGGAAGAAGATAACGCCACCAATGCAGTTGTCAATGCGCTCGTCAGCGGTGAAAAGGAGCTGGCGATAAAGACGACGGTTCTCCTCTGTGTTCTCCACGCCGATTGGGTTCAGACGCTTTGCCATACTACCTACATAGACGCAGACATACACATCATTGTGTTAGAGTACTGGTCTTCACGGTCTGGTCTTCATGTTATAGCTAGTGGTCGACCGATATATCGTCAAGGCCAACATATGGCATTTTTAAAATATCAGCATCGGCCGATACGTTTTTCTGATTGGCCGATGTGCTATATCCAGTTGCCTACTGTGTCATATCTCATATTCATATTGTTTTCACTGTGTGCTGTATGTAAAATTTGTGTTACTTGTTACTTAAAAAATATGATTACCAGTGCGCATGAAACTACCAGATTATTGAGTGCCTTGTTACAGTGTTTACTTCCCTTTTACACAAATATTCATATATTTTTAAGCAATTACTTTATTAAAAAAAAAAAAAAAAAAAAAAAAACTGTAATAGGATTGCGGATTCAAGAAGTTGCCATCTAAAGTATAAGCGTGTTTATTTTAAAGATTTGTTTTCTAATTTATTAAATATTGATTAAAATAACTATAAAGTATATATAAAACAAGTAGATATATAAAAACAAGTAGGGCTATAACTAGTGAGCTACATCTTTAGGGTGGCCGAATATATATATATATATATATATATATATATATATATATATATATATATATATATACAGTATATATGAAGAGTTCAGATGCAAAAGCCTCTAAATGCCATTTGAAATTTTCTTCTAGAATGGTCATTTTTATCAAACTTGTATATTTAAGTTCAGTAATTTCACTTAAATGACAATTAATAGGTAATTATCATTGCCATTTAAGTGAAATTACTGAACTTAAATATACAAGCTTGATAAAAATTATCATTTTAGAAGAAAATTTCAAATGGCACTTAGAGGCTTTTGCATCTGAACTCTTCATATATACATATATAAATGTAGGTTTTATAAAAAAAACCAATATTGGTCGACCACACGAGCCACAAAATAAAGCTTAGCGAAACGCGCAACGAGTAACACTGTGTTAGAGGGACTGGCAGAAAGAAGACGTAGGTGTTTCAGTCACTGTTTGCATTATGTCTGGTTTTCTAAAGGATGACAGAGCAACAACCATCAAGGGGAGTGAATGATCAAACTGAATGCGTTACATTCATATGCGGTGCAACCGTCACTGACCTGTGGACTCATCTGCAGCGAGGATGCCCTTCCCAGGAGCTACGATACGCTGAGCGATGTCCTGAAGCTCCTTCTTCTGCTCAGTAGTGAGTGCGGGGTATTGGTGCGTCATGATGTCTGTGGCTCAAAGTGACCTGCAACAGAGGAGACACCACTGTCACTTCATCCATCTCACCTGCAACTTCACATATTGGAACAAATCTGTGTCTACTACATAGATTATCTATCTATCCATCCATCTATCTATACACACACAGTAATGGCCAAAACTAATGTCCTGCCTAGGGCAATTTACAATATTCATCTTTTATTTAAATATTAGTACAATTTAATATTAGTTCATATTAACTAAATATATATATATATATATATATATATGAAGAGTTCAGATGCAAAAGCCTCTAAATGCCATTTGAAATTTTCTTCTAAAATGACCATTTTTATCAAGCTGGTATATTTAAGTTCAGTAATTTCACTTAAATGACAATTAATAGGTAATCTTCATTGCCATTTAAGTGAAATTACTGAACTTAAATATACAAGCGTAATAAAAATGATCATTTTAGAAGAAAATTTCAAATGGCACTTAGAGGCTTTTGCATCTGAACTCCTCAATATATAAAACACACAGTAGTGGCCAAATTTTCTTTTAAATTTTCATCCTTTATTTTAATATTAGTACAACTTGATAAATATTTTGTAATTATATTATGTGGCTGTGCTTGGAATCAATTGTACGGACATCATTTTTGGCCACCCTGTCATTCAAGAATTTATGAAATTATGAACATGCAAAAACAAGAGAGAACCAACAAAATATTTAAAACTGGTTATGTTGTAGTCAATGCTTTTTCCTAAGAGCTGTTTTTTTTTATTTTAATATAAAGCCTGACTTTTATTTGCCAAATAATTTTGTCAAATAAATCCATTAACCAAGTTTAGCATTTCGTTTTTTTTTCTTCCTCGTATTTAATCGAACTTGTAGAGTCATAAATAAACAAATAAATATCAGTAAAAATCAATCATGTATTATGTAATTCATTCAATTCATTTTCAGTCTTCAGTGTCACATAATCCTTCAGAAATAAGCCTAATATGCTGATTTTCTGTTTAAGAAACATTTATTTTACATGTCGAAAACAATTGCTCAGCTCTTAATTTGAGAGTCAGAACATGACTCGAATGCTTCCAGCAGCTTAGAAACAGTCTCACACAAGGAACAATCCGTCTCCTGGAAACATCGAACTGCTGGCTATGAATTAACAGAGTAGACTGAAGAATGAACACAGTTTTATCTAAAAGAGTTGGTTAATATTCCTGCCCACTCTCCTTCACAGCTCTTCAGTGAGGCTGAATTGCATAATGCAGACTAAAGCCAGCAGAGCAGTTTTATCCACTGCTGTTATGCAATCACAGCTCTCTAATCTCTGCTGTCAATCCCCATTAGACCTGCCCCACTGTCTGTTACTACTCACTTTAGAGTGCTAGACTGACACAGCATTTCATTTAAAGGGCACGGATTATTACTTTAATAATGTTAAACTTTAAAAAAGTTAAACTAATGTTAAACTTTTAAAAAAGTTAAACTAATGTTAAACTTTAAAATAGAGCCAGACCGATATATCAGCAGGCCGATATTAGGCATTTTCCAAACTATCGGTATCGGCAGTAATAATGGCCGATTAACGAATATTTCAAAAATAAATTAAAAACAGACGAAACATGCTTGAACCATGTCATGAGCGTTGGAGTTGTATAGTTTGTCCACCAGAGGGCGCTCTACACCGTTCCTGTTGGCAACACTCGTTGAGTTGGTCATGAGACTTAAAGGCACTCTATGCAAGATCTGTACCTTAATATAACAGCTTCAAAGTCGTTTTGGTGGTTAACAAAGTCATAGTAGGGCGAATCATCCTCGTAGGAAAGCTTGGGGGGGACGCTGCCGGAAAAACCAGCCATGCAAGTTTGAGAGTGGCGCCCCTGACACAGCGCGTGAGAATCACGAAATGGTTTACGGGAACGACGTCACACGCATCAACAACATCATACTGTATGAAGCTACTTTCGAAAAAGGGAAAGAGAATCGGACCGTGCTAGAAACCGGACAAGAGTCCACTCGGTCGGGCTTTCAGTTTCACTCGTTAGCGCGAGCTTAAAAGCTGCACTGGATTGTAACTGCGATGCTGACCTGGCGATCTTGTTGATGGACTTGTAAGTAAATCTCTTATTTATAAACTTGTTTGTATTTGTATACTTGTTTCTATAATGTATGTTGCTGCACTGGCTTGTGGTATGTCATTTTTTACGGTGCTGTTCATTCATCCGTTGTTGATAATAAGACCAGTTCAATAATTCTCACATGTCTATAGCTTTCGATTACCAGAGCTTTAAGCAGACTTCCTAAAAACAGTCGTTTCTCTTAGTCTTGTTGTTTTTTTCGTTATGTTTTATTGCCGAGCTTGCCACAAGAGCTAGTTTGCCAGCTGAACTCAGGTGTTGTGATGTGTATGTATCACGTATCTTTAGTCCTGTGTCTGGTTCGGATTTCTTATGACGTGTGTAAGTTACTGTTATATCAAGTTTATCTGACTAACAGTACACTTCCCGACTGTAACTTCAAATTGTGTTGATTATGAATCAATCAAATCTTGACGCTGTTGATGTTGATTCTTGCGATTACCATGAGGACATAGTCAATATCTCACATAATTATTAGGACATATATAAGCCTAGAGGTTGTAAATAATTGAACACAATTTGCTATTATGATAAATTGTAATCATGTCTAAATCATAACGTCCAATGTTATGAAATAATGCGACGTACATTTAACTTGATTGATGTAAACATTACAAAATGTCAGATGACATTACAATCAAAAAACATGAATGAAATTATACAGTAGCCTATACACTATAGGCTATTTACTTCTGATTTTGCAGAAATCATGTAAAAACGCTATAAGCCAGCAAACGTGATAGGCAACTTTATTATTAAAAAGCAGTCTAGCACTTGACAGTAGTTCAGTAGATATGCAGTAACAGGGGAATAACGGTTATTTACGACAGTGCAAGTACACCACAGCGGCTCTAGAGGTCACTGTTTTACAAAAAAACCAGAGAGTGCATAGTGTGCCTTTAAGCCTCTTTCACACAGCGAGTTGATCCCGGGAAATTGCCAGAACGCCTTCTGTGTGAACGCAAACACGACCTGGGATTGATTCTGGGATTGATCCCGGGTTGGGGACCTAGTAACATTGCCGGAATCAGTCCCGGAACGCGCGCTGTGTGAACAAAAGCCAGGACCAATGCCGTAAAGGGTGTGTCAAAGTGATGATGCTCGTGCGACTCTGTTGCTCTAGAAGAAAGTTTGTGTTCGTCATCAACAAAGAAAGGACGAACAAAGACCTGAAAACTGGAGCGAAGCAGAGACCAGGATCTCTCACTATCCGTACTGAAGCTGAGATCGTCCACCAGCTTAGTGGAACGGTATGCGTGTGTACATGTTTTCGACGCGTCCGTTATACGTCTCATCGTGATGTCATGTGTCTTCCCAGGATTTTTACAGGTTGTGTGTGAACGCACTCACAGATCCCGGCAAATCACTGGCAGTGTGAATGAACCGAAATCAAAACAATTCCGGGACAAATGCTGGGTCACATTATCCGTGTATTTTCTGGAATCTCTGTGTGAAAGGGGCTGTACATTGCTTGAATAACAATTAAAAGAACATCCCCATCAGTTCTCTTAACTCAAATAAGCATGACAAAATTTGTGACTATCATTTCCAGTTTTGCTGCTGTTAAATAAGCCGAGAGTGAAGCGGAATAGAGTGCCGAAGTTACGACGTCACTCTGTAGGCCAAAACGCGGAAGTGAGTTAGCATTTTAGCATTACGGTTCCCTCGCTCTAAAGCCTATGGGATTTTTGAATGGGTTTTTGCTAAATCGGCTGAAATAAGGTCTCTGGTGAACAGAGCCTCTAAATATTTTCACGTTTTGATCTATGACATAGAACACACAGTTATAATCAGCTTGTGGTTTTTTAAACTTTATTGTGTCTGATTGTGTTTTTTAAAATCTTTATATAGGCTTCGAAATGTATAAATTTTGGATTAACTTGTAAAGATTATCTTGATAGACAAAACGTGTAAGGGTCACAACTCTTTGTTGAACACAGATCTTATTTTTTGCGATTTTCCAAAAGTCTATGGGAAAAATGCATTATTTTTCGACCGAGGGAACCCATGCGCTGCTAGCTTCCGGGTTGTCCTACAAAGTGACGTCATCACTTCGGCACTCTATTAGCTTGTACGTTGTTACAGTGTAGTTGACTGACTGTCCTTTTAACTTTTGACAATGTGACTGAAGTATTTCTTTACTAGCGCGTGACAGTTATAGCAATGAGACGCATCATCTCTCCTTGGCCTGTTATTTTGAAAATGTATGTTTTACAATTTGCAGTATGAGGATATCCATTGCTAAATCATGGCGCATCATAGACTAGCAAACCACAAAGCTAGCTAATGCCACCATCATCAGTCTGTTCTGTTGTGACAATAAAAGAAACAAGTTTCTTTTTAAAATGCATTATCATATTATTTTAGTTAAAACTCATAAATAACTATAAATAACTAATGTTAGGGAAATCTGTTAATGTTTTGTTGCGTGTTTCTGAAATAAAAACAAATAAAAAATATCAGCCGATATATCGGATTTTAAAACCAACAAATATTTGTATCGGTCTCGGCCTTCAAAATCCTTTATCGGTCGGTCTAAAAAAAGACACGATGACTTCACCAATCGGCGATTGCCTCTTATTTAGATTATTTAGAAGGCGGGACTTATTCCACCATATTGAGCGTTGCCCCATTCAAAACAAAACGAGTGACGCGGCTTGTGTTATTCTATCGTTAAAAAAAATATGGATCATTTCAGAAAGAGGGTCAGAATGAGGCTTGAAAATAATTGTTTTTCCACATGTATATTGGTTTTGTTTTTTTGTGTGCAAGCAAAAAACGTTATTTAGAAGTGAACCTCAAAAAACATTCAAATAAAAATCTGTCATAAACCCTTTAAAGCATGACAAATATTATTAAAACAATAATATAAAATGGAATTTCCAAAGTGCACTTTTAAATGTATACTGTTTAAGTGTGTTATACGTGTGTTAATGTCGGCATGAAACGGAAGTTGAGATTGTCATATTTTCCTTGTTGTGACGTATATCCGAGTGAAACGGCTTCTGAAATTAGAAAATAATGTAGGGCGGGGCTTGATTTCGCCCTTCGGGAATTGATTGGATCTAGGAGGTTGGACGTTGCAAACAATATGGAGGCAGATTTGAATGCGATTCTGAGAGGCGGCGCACCCTCATCGGATCTGGCCGCACCCTTTCGCCATTGCACGTGACCGAAATAGAAGAGACGTCGTTTCGATGGGGGAGGGAAGGGTAATGTATTTGATTAAAGATTATAAGGGTACATTAATTTTTTTTAAAATAATGAAGACCACAGATAAATCATTTACAATAAACACTACAATATTACATGTTAAAAGGAGATTAGTCAAATTTGATTTCATGCAGACTTTAAGAAACAGTGATAAACGTGGACTTTTGTTATATCATCAAGTACAGTTTCATACTTTTAAGGTTGAAGGTACACCGCAAGCACAAATTCAATGAAATTAAATGCTTTTCTTTTTCACAAAGGTTCTTTTCTCACTCTCAACCACTCAGTCAGATTTTGCCATATTTATGACTTGTATTTTAAACAGACTGTGCACTTCTCTCTTCTCGGGTGAGTGCTCCCCCGTCTCTATGCTGAATGGAACGAGCCAAAACCGGCACAAACTGGCTGGTCTGTGTCGATGTATATCACAGTTGGATGCGCTCAGGCTATAAGCACACCACCTTTATGCACACAGAAAGAGAAACCTTTCACATACTGTCCTTAATTGAGATTCTAATCTACTGAAATTAATTAATGTGGGTTTTAATGAGAGAATACAGGGAAGCACACATCTCTGAAGCTCTGTGAATGATTCTAACTCATTGGTTTTGTTGAACATGGGAAAACACGGCCTACGGCAGCCGCTCACCTCATTCATCACGCAATATCAAATCTTTGGGTTCTGCGAGGGATGTGTTACGGCACGCTTTTAACATTCCACTTCTTCACTCTGTGTAATATAGGAGTCATCACTGTCTGGCTGTAGTTTGAACAATGCTAATGCTAAAGGCCATGCTGTATTGGCTTCATTGTGTTTAAAGGACAAACAGAGGTCATCTTGATGTATGACCACAGTCAATGACCCGTGATGAATAGGTGTCCACTGGTCCTAATTCAAAGGGACTTTAATTTGCCCTTTGCTTGACAATTGTTGTCACATAAAACATGGGATAATCTCTGTGTACTAAACCTTATGTTTCCAAGACGCAAACTGTACTTCAATACAGGTCCATATTACAAATAATTACATTTTATAATTAAATATTATTGATACATATTTGAATTATTGTAATGTATTTGTATTTTTTATTGTTATTTAAATGTAGTAAGTGAGTCCCAAAACTCACTGGGTAGCGTTCATGAGATTACTTTTAATTGTGATTTTTAGGGCTGTCAAACAATTAATCGCATCTAAAATAAAAGTTTGTGTTTACATAATATATGTGGGTGCACTGTGTATAATTATTTTATATTTAAATACACACACATGCTTCTATATATTTAAGAAATATTTTCATGTATATACTGTATATAGATTGATATATCATTTGTATAAATATTTTATATAAATTATATATGCATGTGTGTATTTATATTTATGTAAAATAATTATACACAGTGCACCCACATACATTATGTAAACAAAAACTTTTATTTTGGATGCGATTAATCGTTTGACAGCCCTAGTTATTTTATATTGTGTTCTTGCTAGCATGTTTTTTTATTTTGCATCTTTAATTTATTTTTGTAAATTGCTTTGAGATAAAGATGCTATAGAAAGTTTTTTTTTATTATGATACAATATTATTTAGACTGCTTGCTAACGTCAGTTTATTATGAGACATTTAATAGATGAGCTCCATTTAAACAACAGCAAACCTATCCATTTACAAAGCGTCATCAGTGTTTGTAATGCACACTGCAAGTGAATATATTTGATGAGTCTTGATGTCACTGTTGTTTATTAGACACTGCACTTCTAAATCATTTAGTAAATCACAGAGTGGATCAAAGTAATGTCTACAAGACATCAATCTGATATACGTAGGCTAATGCTTTAGGCTAAAGCTAAAAATAGCAGGATGACGCAGTTATCTATAATCAGTTATGGCTGTGAAGAACAACTCCTGACTGTTACTGACACCTTTCACTTTTTAATGTAGAGAGCCTTGCAGAAGATGCTTCTCAAAGAAAATGCTTCAGGCATAAGTGACAGCTGATTGTTTCAGTCTGTATCTCTTTGACAAGATCAGTTTCTCTGCACCGCATCATGCGCAACAGTGACCGTGCATTTTTGGAGACAGGGATACCTGCAGGTTGGAGTAATGGGGGAAAGGCTACCCCTCCCCCCGCCACACCCTAACAGACGGTCTTTGCGACAATTTGTCACGGCCAGTACAGATAAAAATAGTAATACAGAAAATTTTTTTTAGTGCAGGACTTGATTTTGTCCATATGCAATTTATTAGATGGCTATGGTTTGCTATTGGTCGATCTCACGTGAGTCATCAGAGAAGAGAAGTCGTTGCTAGGGTGAGAAGTTATTTTTATAAAAGATTATGAGGGCAGATTCGTTTAAAAAAATGATGTACACATAAATAATTTATGAAAATAATAAATAAAATTGACGATTCTGATTTTGACATCAAGTTCAATATTGAAAAATATTCCTTAATTTACAAATAGCTGAGAGTGTCTGCTCAGCTCCTTAGAAACTATTTCAGTTTCCATTTTAACACTGACTTCTCTAATTGGTGGATTTCACTTCAGGTGTATGGGTAGTATAGTTCTTGACAGTTATTTGACTACTAAACTGTTTACTTTAAATACATATAACACTGAAAAATATCACATGTTCTTCTTCAAAAAGATGTATTATGCATGGAATTACACTGGCCATGCTAAATTTTGAAGAAGATATTAAATGAAAGAAAAAATAAGCGTCAGAGGCCACCATTTAGAGAACCGTACATCCCTAGCTTAGTCTTCATCATCAGCTTAGCCCGTTTAACCTTGATACATGTACAGCTGTGTCCTCAGAAGAGAGGAGAGACACCATCATCAGCACGTATACACGTCACGCGACAGGATGATGAGAGAAGAACACAGCTCGCGTGATTCATTACAAACATCCCGCACTGCTGTGACGCAGCTCGATACGCGCGTGCCGCGTTGCGTCGGTGACAGTGTATGAGATGTTAAAGCGACCGGAAGGGAACATTAAGTGATGGACTTTCTTGACAGATCCTAAATTGGATGAAAATTTGTTTAATAGCCCTTTCGAGAGGATGTGTATTGAATCTGAAGGACACCAGGAAACGCTATTTTCATCACGTTAGCTCACAACCGCTAAGCTAAGCTACACTGATGTAACGTTAGAAATGCCTACGTGCAGATCATCAGCCACACTCCCTTCAGCAGACAGCAGTCTCATTCGTGATGCTGTATAGACCTACGCATGAATACGATGCTTTAATTTGCGTATTCTGTGAAATAAACACTGGTTTGTCAGTTAACGTTAGCTACACTACCGTTAAATATAACTCACGGAAGAGAGAGATGTTGATGGTGGTGTCGTCACCCATGAGGATGACATTGAATTTCGACATGATGATGTTGTCTCTTTATACAAGTTAGTTGCTTAATTTTTGAGTCAAAAATGAAAATTTCACGCCGAAATTAACGAGACCTGCTTTTATATGTCGTATCACCATTGTATCATGATGGAGAAGGCCGTTGATAACTAAATGCGAACCACCTGTCGGATGACGCATTAACTTGACATACAAGCAAATAAACGTACAGTAAACAGTACATTTAAACACACAACACACACATTCGTTTGAGTACAATTCAGAAGGAATTAACAAAATGATATTCAACATTGAAAAATGATCTGATAAAATAAATGACATGCCATCTATGAAAGTTGCAGTGTCAATACAATTACACACATACATATATATATCTATATATTTATTTAAATGAAAGAATTTACTCACTTACCTGTTAAGGAGAGTGATTCAAAAGATGCCCTGTGATTTCGACAGCCTCCAGTTTCAATGCCGCAACGCAACGTGACCGCTTAGAAAAAGCAACCCACATAGGGGCGTGGCTTTGGTCACGACCTTATTATAATAATGGTTAATATTCATGAGTCTTTAAAGTGACCCCGCACTTCCACATTACATTGCTTGAGGTGTGTTTACGAGCACGTAGGCTTTTTAAAAAGTGAAAAACAAATGAAAAATTTAAGAATAAATAGCTAGTTGTAAAATTATAGGCTAACATTTGCATAAAACATTTATTTTTTTCTTACAAAACATTTGTCAATTGATTATATATGCAATATCCACTATACTATTAGATAAACCCAAAAAATGACTGGTTATATTTTAAAAGGATTCTTTTATTTAGTATGGGAAAAAGCGTTGAGGAATATCTTATTGTAGCTCAATAATAGCAGTAGCTGAAACTGCAGTGCTGTGTCCCTGCTGGGCGGAGCTTCTAAAATTACCACATACAGCATCAATAACAATATTGAATGAAAAAAGAAACATTTTACTACATTTCTTCCCCTTTCTTTGCTTAGTATTTAATAAAGGATCACTGGTGTCAGGCATTCGGGGCGTAAAACAAGAACAGTCATTCCAGGACAAATACAAGGTTATTCATGCATACATGGGCATTGATTCAACCAGGCCTAAAGCATTGGTTAAAACAACAATAGGAACAATAAAGCCAATAGGAAAATCAGTATAACAACATAACCACAGTTCCTTTCCCATTCACTCCCAAGTGCATTATGCAAATACAATGAACAGTCAGTGCTAAGCATATTGTTTCATATAAAAGTATAGATGTCCACTTTTTGGGATTTTACAATTTTTCTATTAACAATGCTTTTTCACGAGACTTAGGTTTAATAATTACAAAATGAGTGATGATTTGATCCTTTTAGCATTAGCGTATCCCTGAGGGTTTGCACAGCTTTCAAAACATAAAACCAGGAAGAACTGAATTTATGGTATGTTTGTTGAAAGTAAATGCAGGGCTGGCTTATTAATAAGGACAAAATAGTCAAATAACGTCAACGGACGTGAGGAACTATGAACCACATTTCACTAAATGTCTCAACAAAAGGTATGGAATTCAATGTAAGAGCTAGAGTGTCTCAATAAAAATGAAATACACTTAAGCATATCCCTTCACGGAAGAATAAGCTACAATTAAGGTTTGAACTTTCCCCCACATACTAAGTAGTTCGGTTCTCTTGCTTCTTTTGATAAGAAAACCAAAAAAGAAAATAGAAAATGAAACATTTAGTCCTGGTTTGCTTAGCGTTCACATTATTTTTACACCGAATTTAAAGATACAAAACAATAAATGGCTTTTATGACATATTTTTTGACTGAACATCCAAAACAATACCTCCTTTTAGGGTTGCATCGTGTGACATCATGTCCCGTTTTTGGTTCATTTACCTGTCTTTGGTCCATGTTGCATTCATATATGTTCGTTCGGGAGTGTATCGAGACTCGTCTTTTGAGGGGTCTGATTCTGCTTTTTGGTGCGCACCAGGGTTCAGATGGCAGAGTTCACGCTTATGTAAATGAACCGCACTAACAGAGCAATCGCACCCGAGTTCATTTTAATCAAACCAAACCTGGCAAGTGTGAACACACTGTAAAAAAAAAAAAAGTTAAACAAACACTTCTCTTTGGGAAGCGTCGTCCTGAGGTACATTGATTTGCATGAGCGCTTCTACCCGCTCCATGTTGGCCAGAGTTGGGGAGAGGTCTGGGACTGTGGGTGTGCAGGGTGAGTTTAAGAGAAAGTCGCAGTCAAAGTTTGCGAAGGGCTCCAGGGTCAGGCCTCGACGGGATTTGGCAGGCCGGTCAGGCCGGTTCTTCAGCTCCACGATCAGCTCCATGGGGGTCTTTTGGAGCAGATGGGAATCAAATGGCGTGCCGTGGAAAAAGGTTTGGCGCTTGAAGCGTTCCAGTGTACGAAGGCGACGTCCTGGGGTCTTACAAAGAAGCTGAGGAGAGAAAAAATGAGTTGAAATGATTGAGGTAACGCAGTTATTCCTTGTGATTTGTTAAAAAGTGACATCAACACCAGGAATTAGTGCTCTGCCTTAATTTTTTAAAGGTCCTCACAGTAAAGAATCACAAATAAGATCATTATTGAGCTTAAATAGAGAGCAAATAGACTTTCCTGCTTCTCAGGTGTATCTCCTGAGAAAAAGTTGTTAGTACACTGAAATAAAATGTGCAGGATTTACTTAGAATTTTTTTTTTTTACTTTGAAATTGCAAGGAAATTTCACAAATACTTACAAATATATTGCACGTAACACATTGAATTAAAGATGACATTTTGAAGTAGAAAGACTTGCTCCAATACATTTTTTACAGAGTAATCTCACATGTTTCCTCCATTAATTTCAGAAGGGATCTCAAAGTCTCAAACTGTTCAGAATCGCAATCAAAAATCACAGCATAAAATGATCTGAAATAAATTACCCAAATAATCTAGGCAATCCATTTTATGATAGGATTTTTTTTTTATTGATTTTGAAAAATATTTTTTAACCCCTTAAGTGTCACCCCCCTTTTTTTTGGAATATAAATGAAAATATAAATAATTTTTTGGGAAAATGCACAATTCAAACTTAAATGGTTGTAATTCAAGAATGCTTTGGAATATAGATGTAAGATTGGTCTTGTTTTAAAGAAGACATTTGGCAGATTTTTGTAGACGTAAAATAAATTAAGAAAGTGAAATGGAAAAAAAGTTATATAAGTTTGAGTTTATGAAAATGTACAATATAATTTTTTTTATTATTCATATTTTATATCAAATATCTATTTTCAAAACCTGGGACACTCTAAAACTGCAAAACAATCAAACTTTTTCACTAGGGCACAACCAGACTCCATTACTGCCCATATAAGGGCGCCTCCATTTCCATATGTGTTTTGACTGATGTGAACCGTTATTTCCACAATTTTCTTACAATTTATGAAGTAGACATCCTATTCAGAAGTAATATGAGAAGTTTCGCAGATTTCGATATCAATTCAACCTCTAAGAAACACATAAAAAGAACTATTATGTGCGTTATAGCTTCCTGCCACATCTCAAATGGTGAATCTATGATTTTTTTTAGGGCTGTTAAACGATTAATCCAAAATAAAAGTTTGTGTTTACATAATATATGTGGGTGCACTGTGTATAATTATATATATATATATTTACACACACACACATGCTTACATATATTATTGTAAACACAAACTTTTATTTTGGATGCGATTAATCGCGATTAATGTTTGACAGCCCTAATTTTTTTCTTTATATTTCATATATAAAGACCTTTTTTTTTCTAAAATAATCGAATGGAGGCTATCTTTTGAACTCTTGGCATAAAAACAAACTGAGGTTTCTACTCCTTTCTTTCATGATTTTTCATGTTCATCACTATCTCAAAATAAAGGTCTAAACACGCCTTAGGAGTATGAAAATATTCTTGTTACAAATTGATAAATTACGGCTACTCTGTAATTTATTTTGAAAATCAATCACCAAATATGGAAACTAGAGACTGTAAGCTTTCAAATGATATATAGTTTGTCAAGATTAGTTTAGGTTTAGTATACGGTTTTAAAAATGAATTGGATTTGGGCCCACCGGTGGCCAGGTGACACTTAATGATCTCATTTTTAGGGAATTTTTTACTGATACTACTTTGAACATTTTGGCAAATAAAGCTCCTCGTCAGGTGTCCACATCTCACCTCTGTGAGCAGCAGAGCAAAAGGAGGAGAGAAGTGTTTTGGCATCTCATAAGGGAAGCTGCGTACCCTCCTCAACATGCAGCAGTGATCCGGCTCTGGGGACACTGGAAACTGAGGAGGGAGGGGAAGAATGACTCGGCAGAAAATACACATCACATCATATACCCCACAATGAGCAAAAAAAAAAAAAAAACACAACATATGCAAATATGTGTGCATTTGTCCTCACCTTTCCAGTGGCCAGTGCGAAGAGGAGGATGCCGAGAGACCACCAATCGGCAGAGTGGTTGTAGGGACCGCCGCTAAGGACTTCAGGAGCTGAAGGGACAGATTTCATGACAATCTTGCTTACATTCCACACACAGCTAGACATAAACATCATTTCATTTGCTCAGCCATGAATATCATTTAATGGCTTGTTCAGCATATACATATAACACACATTGTTTTCATTTCTTGATTTATTATAGATTTACCCATGTATTGAATTGTTCCGCAAATAGTGAATGCCCTTCCTCCCCGCTCAAGACGCCGGGACAAACCAAAGTCAGCCAGTCGTAGGTGGCCTGTAATAAGATTATTCATCATTATAGGTTATAAGGTTTCAATATTGTTGTTCTAGGAGACCATTCATTTTTATTATTCATTTTATATTATATATTTATGGCTAGATGTTTGTTTGGTGACATTTGAATTTTATAAGCTTTGATGTCATATTCACTTCAGCATTTTAACAAACAAATATTGAAATATTACAACAGAAATGTTGTGAAATGGATTATTTGTTAATATTGTATTGCGATCGCGATCATATTTATGTAAATACTCGGAAAGCGTGAAGCCGAGACGTTCTGGAAGATTCCATGTTTACATGAAAAAAGCGGACACACACTGCCCTCTACTGGAGTGACTAAAGAACACAGGCTGCCTTACCCTGATCTGTTAGAAGGACATTTTCCATCTGTTAAAAATACAACAGGGAATGTTTTAAGACATTCTTCTGATATTTTAGGGATTATATTTATTATCAATACATCATTATATAAAACAGTGTATACCTTCACATCACGGTGGACGATTGCACAGTCATGAAGGAACCCTAAACAGAGATGATACAACATGAGTATTGTAATACATTTTTGGCACAAAACGTTAAGGACTATAATATAAGAACTATAATATAAAATAAAATTTGGTCAGACTTTAGATTAGGGTACGATTCTCACTATTAACTATGACGTTTGCCTCAATACTCTCCTAATTACCGCTCATTAATAGTTAGTAGGAAGTTGTTAAGTTTAGGTATTGGGT